GGGGGAGGGAGGGAACTTTGCCTTTTTGGAATTTACCGTCTCGGCTTTTAGGGAAGGTTTTACATTTATCTGTGGATATCCAAGGCTCATATGTTTCTTAATCTCTATCTATTGAGTCTTGTTCAATCATCAATTTTAGTTGTTGGGTGCAATTAACTCTCCATTAACTTCTTCCATACACTATCTGTTTATAGCTTACAAAAACATCACTTATCAGAACATATAAAAAACTGAGGCTATGAAAAACAACTTTCCTATTTTACTGATCATTAATTTAAGAACGTCTAAGTCAGACTTTTTATTTACGTATCTGTATATACCCATAGCTCTTGTTTATGGTCTAATTGCTTTTAAGGGATCTTTGTTATCTTAAACTAAGGTTACAAGGAAGAATGTTTATAATCACTAAACCTAAGCTGGTAGTAAGTAATTCTGCTGACAAATCCTGTCTCCTAGCAGTCTTAAGAACATTGTTAATATAAGTATTAAAACTACTTATGATTACAAGTAGAGTAAATGTAGCTAATATATGGCTTCCTACTTTTAGTAAAAATATACTAAAGTGTAGGAGAGTCAAAATCTAAAGTAAAGGGATACTAATAAAATCATCAATAAATCGGAGAATGATTCAAAAAGAAAAAAATTAACTAGGGGCCTGTGCATAGAATTTTTCTTTGTGGCTTTGCCATCCAAGGAAAACACGTCATTCTCTCTTTGCTAGAACAGTGAGCTCTTCATGCGCAGGGTCCCCATCGTCTCATTTCTGTATTTCAATTCCTTGATTAATATGGCCCCCGCCAGTTTCCATTGTACAAGTGTAGAACTCGTTAAATTTCATGGTAAGTTTTTCATTGTTTTATCTCCTATTTGAATTGTGAATTGTTGGTGTGCACAAGTGTGATTTCTGTACATGGGTTCCCACTCCTCTGTACAACTGTCTAGGGCTCCTGTATACTCAGGCAGGGGAGAGCCAGGCCAGATCACAGCCTGAGGCCTTTGGGAGATGCAGCTACAGGATGAAGGGGTCGGGGGCCAGGACCCCCTCACCATGCAGATCTTAAGTCTGGGGCGCTAAATGGCTGCCCTGCCAGAGGGCTGTGAAGGCTGGGCATGAGTCCGCGTGGTGAGCAGACGTGGCAGGTGTCAGAATGCTGGGGGATTGCCACCTGGGAGTCCCGGACAGCGGGTAGCTGTGTCCCTGGGAGGTGGGGTCTTGGAGAGGTGGGCACAAGGAATGTCAGGCTTCCTCCGGCCTCTTGGGGAGCCCAGGCTCGGCCTTCCCTGCAGCCCCCACGCCCCTTTGCCCCCTGTAGGATGCTGTGCAGGAGGTGACGCAGCGGGTCCACTCACTTTCCGGGAAGAAGGATGGGCTGGTGCCCATGTTCATCAACACCCACAGCGGTCACTTCACACACCTGGGAGTGTACACGCTGGGTGCCAGGGCCGACAGCTACTACGAGTACCTGTTGAAACAATGGATCCAGGGCGGGAAGAAGGAGCCGCAGTGAGGGTCTCCCCTGCCCGGTGCACGCGGGGCCCCCAGAGCTCAGGGGACCCGGGCTCAGCCTCTGAACAAACAAAACGTTCACCCCAGACTTCCCACAAGGGGGGATGGAGCTGGGGCCCCGGGGGCCCCTGGGCTGTGTCCTTGCCGGGAGATTCCTGCGCTGGACATGTGGCGTCTTCGCCCTGTTTCCTGACGTGGACAGGACAGTGGAATCACTCAGAATTCTGCCTGCAGAGCAGATATTAGATGCGGACGGCCACCGCTGACCCAGTTGAGGCCCCAGGACAGTTTGCAGGTGGCCTATGTCGGTGTTACTGTTGGTAGCCTGACTGCCCAGAATGGAGGGGTCCAGGGACCTGGGGGAGGGGGCAGGCAGGGCTGTGGGCCAAGACGACTGTTGGGGCCCCTTCCTTCCAGGCCCGTTTCCCAGGACCTCAGGGTGGGGGGTACTGGGCCTCAGAGTGTCTGAGGGGGACCTGGCCCGACGCTCTCCCACAGGCTCCTGGAGGACTACGTGGAGGCCATCGAGGGCGTCAAGAGGCACCTGCTGCGGCATTCGGAGCCCAGCAAGCTCACCTTCATCGGGGAGCTTGCCCACGGCCGCTTCAGCGCCAAGATGGTGCGTGCTGACCCAGGGCTGGGCTTGCAGGCTCTGCCACCTTCTGTCTGTGTGCCTGGCCTCCCATTCAGGTGTTGGAAGCACAGATCTGCTGTGGGTGGAGGTCAGAGGTCAGAGGTGGCTGTCCTTGTTGTCAGACCTGTGTCGTAAGTGGGCCCTTGTCCCTCCTGCTGCTCCTCGCCCCTCCCTCCATGAGCACCCAGTGGGCAGCTGAGAACTGCATGGTCTCCCCATGTCTGTCCCTCCTGCTGCTGGCAGCTCTGTGTGTGTGGACCCTCGTCCTCTCGGCTGGCAGTGCTGAAGGCCCCCTCCCCTCTCTTTCCAGGACCACCTGGTGTGCTTCCTGCCCGGGACGCTAGCTCTGGGTGCCCACCACGGGCTGCCGGCCGAGCACATGGACCTGGCCAAGACACTGATGGAGACCTGCTACCAGATGAACCGCCAGATGCAGACAGGGCTGAGTCCGGAGATCGCTCACTTCAATGTGGTCGCCCAGGACGGTCACCAGGACGTGGAGGTCAAGGTGAGTGCTGGCGGGCCCGGACAGGACTGGCCTGCAGGCAAGTGCCTGCCTGGCTAACCCTGCATTTCCCTGCAGCCGGCGGACAGACACAACCTGCTGCGGCCGGAGACGGTGGAGAGTCTGTTCTACCTGCACCGCTGCACAGGGGACAGCAAGTACCAGGACTGGGGCTGGGAGATCCTGCAGAGCTTCAACACCTACACGCGGGTGAGGCCACGTGCTGTCTGAGCTCGGCCCGCCCCTGCTCACCTGTGGAGGGGGCAGCTGAGACTTAAGGGCACCTTCTTTCACAGGGTGGGGGGGTCCTCACGTGATGGTGGACTCTTAAGGGAGGGTGCTAAAGGGCTCAGCAGGGGGTGGAGAGGGCCAGGTGTGTCCACACAGTAGTGAGTCCATGAACTCGGTGCCTGTACAGGTCCCCACGGGTGGTTACTCGTCCATCAACAATGTCCAGGACCCCAAGAGGCCAGAGCCCCGGGACAAAATGGAGAGTTTCTTTCTGGGGGAGACACTGAAGTATCTGTACCTGCTCTTCTCTGACGACACCAACCTGCTCAGTCTGGACACCTATGTGTTCAACACTGAAGCCCACCCCCTGCCCATCTGGACGTCCACCTAGGGCTTAGGGGCCCTGCCGGGAGCAATGGGACATCTAGAGGAACATCCTCGACCTCAGCCATTGGACTCCAGGTCAGACAGGACACAGTCCAGTGGACAGTCAGCCGATGCCCTCGGGGCCCAGGACCAGCCTTGGGGCCCAGCTCTGAGCTGCTTCCCACCTGGGCCTCCTCAGGCAGGAGCCATCAGGAACATGGAAGTGTAAGTTACGCTGTGGGGTCCAGCTGGCCCAGCCCACCAGAACTTCCTTCCTTCCTTCCTCAAGACCAGTCTAATCATGACGTGATGCCCACCTGTGCTGGGTTTAGGCCACTCTGCATCTTCTTCAGAAAGTAGCCAGTGGCAGTGGCAGCTGTGCCCCGTGAGGACATTGGGCTCAAGGCCAGCTTTCGTGTTTACACGTTGGACTCAGGGATTCCAGCCGCCCTGCGGGGGCTGGAGGATATGGCCAGTCCATGGGCCCTCCGCTGCCTGCTGGGAGTCAGGCTTTTCCGATTGGGGTAGAAACGGCTTTGCTCTCAAACTCTACGTACATTCCCGGTCCTGTGAAATGTGTGGGTGAGTGTGGTGGTGGGCCCGGCCTCACCCCATCCTGCTGAGACACGAGGACCATGGTGGCACTTGGATGCTCAGCCTGGAAGACGGCTGCTGCCCTGGTCTGCGTCCCCTCCCTGCCTGCCAGGACCCTGCTGCCCCTCCCCCTACACAGGGTAACTTGACCCCACTGAGGTCTGCGGGTTTCTACAGTCGCCCCCGCCACCCCAACCCTTGTGGCCCAGACGTCACCCAGGCTCCACTGAGGCCCTTGTCCCTGAAGTCCAGAATCAGAGTGGGGTGGCTGTGGGCCCAGCAGGACACGTGGGTAGTGGGGGGCAGCATCAGAGGGGTCCCGGGGGTGGCGTCCAGCTACTGTGGTGGTCAATACAGGCTCTGCAGTTCATCAAGTGGGGAAGACAGCTAGACCTGGGGTCTTGGGTGCCCTGTGGCAGGATAGATGTGCCCAGTCAGCCCTGTCTTTCCAGAGGATCCACACTCAGTCAGCTTTGTGAACAGGACAAGACGTTGCTGCAAATGGGCGTTTCCTTCCCTAGCCAAAATCACCCGATAGCCTGGTTGAGAAGTCTCCATTTTATTAAATGTATCACTTCTTTTAAGAAATTGGGATCCTGTGTTCAATTCTCTGAACATTGCCTTTCCCCGGGGGTGGGGATCCCTGTTTGCTCATTTCATGGGGGAAGTGCACATCTGGGTGCTTCAAGCACCCAGGGACGTGGGGGTCTCAGCAAGGTCAGGACCCTCCCCAGAGAGAAGACAAAACTCTTCACCAGACAACAAGTGGTTTTATTCAGACCCCTCCTCCCCGCCTGCAGACGGGGGGGGGGGGGGTCAGGAAACTTCACCACCACCCCCTCGGAGCCTCATTTCAGGAACAGAACTGGTGGGGAGCCGTCCCTCAGCTCCTGGGCCTCACAGGGCGCTGCTCCCACCTGGCTGCCTTCACCCACTCATGGATGAGGGTAGCCTCGAGCTTGCGAGCCTCCACGACTGAGGAAGGGTCTGCCGGGTTTGATCCCCTGGGAAATAGACACCAGGCAAGGGCAGTGAGGATCCATGTGAGTGAGTCCACACCCCCAGCACCTAAGAGACCCCCCCCAGCGATGGAGCTGGCCTGCACCTGAGGTCCAGGTGGTGGGCTCCTCCCTCGATGGTGACTGCGATGACCGATGCACTCCGGTTGCTGCGTATCTGTTGTTGGTGAAGGGGACTTAGCGGGGTCAGGCTCTGAGCCACAACCCAGCTCGGGACTACAGCCAAAAGCGTCAGCTGAGTCCAGGCATGGCCTTGACTGCTCACAGTATAAAGGGCAGGCTACTGATTGATGACAGTCAGCCAAGGTGAGAAATTAGGAAAAGGTACAGAGACTAAGCAGAAATGAAGATTGGAAGGAAAGTGGGTAAAACAGAACCAAGGTGTAATGGAAAAGACCGGCAAATCCCAAAACGGAGCCACAGAAAACAGACCAAGTTCTGACCGCACCCAGGAAAGCCTTGTCCAGAATCAATATTAAAACTGAAGGCGCCCTGACTGCAGGCGAAATCCACCGGGATCTACTCGGGGGCAGTCTCCCCAGGCCCAGACCACTCACCCCACCCCCTGCCCAGGGGTCCAAGTTGCCGTTGGAGAAGATGATGTTGCTAGCAGCTTTGAGATCTGAAAGAATGAGAGCAGGGGCCATGGAAGGGGTCAGAGTCCCTTTGTGATGGGGGTGGGGCCAATCCCGTGCAAAAGGAGGGGTGCTGCCCTGCTCCCCGCCCCCCCATCGTGCCTGCTCCCCAGAAGCTGGTCCGCAGCCAGTCCCGCCGGGGCCACACGCCCCACGTGTCCAAGCAGTACTGCTGGCGCATCGCCTCCGTGAAGGCCAGCTCCGGGAACATGTCAGTCACGTTGTTGCTGGCAAAGGTCAGGTTGATCTCCGTGCAGGCCTGCGGGTATGCCCCATGCTGGTCAGGTCCCGAAGGGCAGCCCACCCCGCAGCTACCCACCCCCATACCTGATAGTCCCAGGCCTCTGAGTCGGGGCCAGAGCCACAGCCGGTGGGGTCGGCGCAGCTCTGGTATTGCTGATAGATGTTGTAACAGGGCTTGGTCCCGGAGGCATTGTACACCAGCCCTGAGGTGGTGGGGGGGAGTACGTCAGCACCTCACACTCAAGGCCCTTCCCCTCTGTGTGTGGGAGGGGCTCTGTGTGTGGGAGGGGCTGTGTGTGGGCGGGGCTCTCTGTGTGGGAGGGGCTCTGTGTGTGGGAAGGGCTCTCTATGTGGGCGGGGCTCTGTGTGTGGGAGGGGCTCTGTGTATGGGCGGGGCTCTGTGTGTGGGA